TTCCCGAAGTTGCCCCCGGGCGAGCGCGGCCGTGGGCACCGTTTGTCAACGTGTTTGATTGGGGGAAAAAAAAAAAATCCAAGCGGCATCTTCTGCAGTGCTCATTTACAACCCAGTGTCATTAAGATTACCCTTGGCTGCCCGTTTGTTACATTTATGTCTGCCCTCACACACTTCGGGGAAAATTGCATACACTGAAGTGCTTGCAATATTGGCATAATTTCGGGGCCCAACAAAAGAGCTAAGAAGGAAACCTGGTAGAAAACAGGCTGCAGACAAAGACAAGTAGATGGTTCTTTGCACACTGAATAATCGATGCATGCACCACCTATTTATTACCAGTGGAAACTGTAGATACAAAAGAAAATATTTGGATTCAATGAAAAAAATGACAAGTATTTGGAAAAGACATCTCTGGGAGTTACTAACTGCCTCCAGGTCAGGAAATTCTCGTGCTGAAATTAATTGGAAGCAAGGTGGGCGTTTGGGAGAAGTGTCAATATGCTTGCTCTGCCATGCCAGCTTTTGGCATTATAGCCGCTTTTGGCTACTTCTACTACTATTACTACTATTGCAGTGTGCTTTATAAGGGAGGAAATCAGGTAAGCCCAAACCTGGTCCACCGCAAAATAGCTGATTACCATAACCACCAAGGTCAGGCTTTGATCAAGAGGCAGCAGCGACCTACATAAACTGACTCGTGTGGAGCTTGCATGTTTTCAGCATCCAGGCTGACAGACACCATGAGGTCCAGCAAAGGTCTTGACGCTCGCTCCCAAGCAGGACAAGCTATCAAAGATGCCGCAGAGATCCCACAAAAAGGAAGCACATGGAGAATCTGAAAGCCGGAAATTCGCTTGCATTTCATCTTAATGTAGCTTGAGACAAGTGAGATCAAAGTAAGTAGCCAACAGTATGGTGTTCCTGAGGCAAAAGCACGGCGAAGCTTTGAGCCATGGGATACCAGAATTCATTCCCCACTACACCAAAACAGTAACAAGCGACTTGCCCACTCGCTTCATTGGGCCAGTGGAGAGCTGGCACCACCAACATGAGGCAAGCTGGAGTGCCAGTCAGTGAGTGTTGAAGACCACCTGGCACACAGGAAGGTGTCAGGCTCCACACTGAAACCCTGGAGAGCTCAAGGAGATTGTCACACTCCACAGAACATCATGGATGAAGAGGGACATTGTGTTAAGAGTATAGGTTTTAAAAAAATGCTCCCATAATTTATACGACTTCCTCACTGACCTCACTGAGAAATGTCCAAGCGGTGAAACACCAACTACCTGACAAGGCAGGAATATTGCTTTCAGAATATTGCTTTAAAGAATATTGCATCTGTGGCCTAAGTTTTGATTTGATAAATTACTCTGAGATTTGATATCTTTGGTTACAGTAATTAATTTTCTGTGAGTTTATTTTGGCCTGTGACATTCATACAAAAAAGTTACCAATATTTGTGTGTTTTTTTGTTTATTTCTGCTATAGCACTGTTCCTGTGTCTTACGTAATATTGTTTGTCTTTTGGGGATGACTACAGCTTTTCAAACAGAAAAATGACAGGCAAATCATTAAGGCTTTGATTATGGCATGCAAAAGATGGGGGAGCACTTCAGGGAGAAAAGGCATTAGCAGATAAGTTGTTCGGTGAGATTTTTTCCTAACTTCTTTATATAAGAGCCGGCAGTATGTAAACATCACATTTAGAAATACTTGGTTCCTCTCTTACTGGGAAAAAAAAAAGAATAGGTTTCTGACCTTTAAACAGACTTTTCTTTCAGGTATCTTTTGCAATGCTGACAAAAAACAAGTGGGTTTTTGTTTTCTGTTTTTTTCCCTATATTCCCATGCTTATTTGCAAAAAGAACTCAATTGTGTTTCAACTGGTTAACTTCCTTACGAGTAGGGGTATGGCAAAGAAAATTGAAGGAACTACCAGGTATTGTCCAGGCTCCCCTTCTCTTTTCATGCTGCATACAATAGTATTTCCCATTCTTGGCAGTGCCTGGATCACATTCACTGCTGCTCATTTGCTGCTTTAAGTTTGAACAATTTGTCTGCTAGAAACTGGTCAGAAGGATCCACATTTTTGGATTCAAAGGATTAAAAGCATCTGGCCGAGTTGATTTTACTCTCATGATAAACTGCAGGAAATTTTAGTAATTTTTCTAGCAGAAAAAAAATGGCATGTTTTAAATTTCTCTCTCTCTCTCTCTCTTTTTTTTTTTTTTCTCTAATATACTATCCCAGTTCCTGCAGAAGTCACCATGGTCAGATAACAGCAGGATAGTTTGATAGTATCGGGATCAGAAGGAGACTTTTCTCTGCTCAGCTTCTTAGCTTTCATGCGCCGCTGACCTGGTAATTGCTACAACCGTGAGCTGAAGTGCAGAGAAAACGGCATTTTGATCTTGAAGTATGCAGAGACCATCTGAAAGGAGCTTTTGAAGCCTGTCCTTGCTCAGCTTTTCCATTTTGTGTCAAATGTTCGAGCACTCACCGTGCCAGAGCGAGAAATTACTGCGTGGACTGGTGGCTAAAGCACTACCATAAGATGGGAAGAGGTTTTGGTGCTTGACCCCTTGAAGGTAAATATTTTATAGAAGCAAACAGTGTTAACAGGAAAAATTGAGAAATCCACATCAGACCAATAGGCTCAATAATCCAGCAAATGGTTTTGCTAAAGCAGCATTTTCTATTACCAGTTGTTTTCTACACTGTCAGTGGTGCTACTTTTTCTCTTCACACAAGTACCTCTATCTGCCCATTATACCTGGAATAGTTCCTAATTTCTGTCACTTCATATATTCAATATTCTGTAATAATTCTTTATTTTGACAGCCACAAGAATAGTCACATAACTCAAAAAGCACCTGTAATTTGGCAGAAATCTGGATATTTGAAGATTTTATATGCATTCCCATTAGTTCTTTTGTTGTTGTTGTTTGGTGAGTTCCCGCCTGAGCTATGTCTATATGTTTAGCTCAGGTTGTACCCCATGACTTCTGTAGTATCAGGGTTAGTGCAGTGCCTGGGAGGTCTGAGTCAGCTGGGAAGTGTGACCAACAGCTAAAAAGGAACAGCTTCCTGAACCGCATCCTAAGTGTGAAGACAACACCTACCAGCTAAGTGCTACAGGACTGTTCCTTAAGGTCTCCTTCAGCTGTGTCTGTGTCAATGTGCTCTGATGTCTGGCTGCCACATGTAAAAGGTTTGCTAAGCCACTGGGCCTTGAGTGGACACCGTACCCAGCCCTGAATGCTCAGAGGGATGCAAGTTTTTCTCCTTTTCTGCTTCTCAGTGTGAGTCTCTGCAGGCTCGCCCTTGTTCCTTCCACACTGCACACATTGCCCTGGGCACTCGACTGCTTCTGCCTCATCAGAAGGCACCACGACAAGGCCCCAGGGTAGGGGTTGGTGCAAACACGAAGCACATGCGTATCTATAGATAACAGTTTTGGTGGCAGGAGCAGATGGAAATGGTTTGATAGGATGCCAAACAGCTGCTGTCAAGAGATTCTGAATCGCACTGTCCTATGATTGACGCAGCATTTAATAAAGACACCCTTTGTCAAACAGCGCTCCACAAAGCGAGGGGGTTGGCGCCGTCTCTCTCGTTAACCACATCGCATCCTGCCTGCAGGTAACGCTCCGCAGCACCCGGGCATCCTGCCGCGAGCGAGGCTGCTCCTGCGGCTGGGGCCCAGCACACAGCAGCTCTGCCGGCCCCACGGCGAGAGCTCAGCGCCCTGCGGCCCGGTGGCCTCCCCATCCCTCCGCTCTGTGGGGATCGCCACCAGCAGCTGCTCCTCTGGCTGCTCCAACTCCGTCTTTTGATACCTGTGAGGAACACGTTTTCCAGCAGATATGTTTAATCAGCCTGCCACCCTGTGGTCCTTCGAGGGAAGCAGATGTGAAAATGCCTGTTAGAAAATGATGTTGAGAATTGGTGCTCGGCAGAAGAAAAAGACTGTTAAATGAAGCTAATGGTCATTTTGTAAGGGAAGAGCCTTCAGACACTATAATCTTCACATTGTGTTACAAACGCAACATGTTAATAATTTGTCTCTGCAGTGACCACCCATCTACTCACCCAATCTAGTCAAAGAGGAAAAATCAAAAATAGAAAATGCCAGAAAAGTAACTATTCTCTTTTATGTGTTTGTATGAGACATGCTGGGCTCTCAAAATATTTATAGATTTCTTGGAGGGGCTGAAGTAATGAGATTAACTTGGGAGAACCAGCTTCTAAAATATGGCAGATAACGCAATGTCAAAATGATCAGTTGCAGTTAGCCCTTTTATTGTACTAAAAGGAGGTGGGTTGAGTGCTACAGAGTACCAGATTTATTTAAGAAGCAGTTTTGCTTCAACTGTAACTCTGCACCAGATACACCTGTGCCAAAAGTACAGGCGAAAGGAGGCAGCAATGGACACAGCTGGGACTGGGCAGAAACAGCAGAGTTTTATCATAAGAACCAGCTCAGGACTCTTGCAATACCACTCCTGGTGCCAAGACTGAACTGTTGTTAGAGTACTGCTTTGTTTTCCACA